CGCCGCGCGCGTCTATATACATATATTATACATATGTACATATTTATCGCAATGCCGCCAGGGAAAATGTTGTGCTCATTTCTTATATTTTTAGTGATATGTCTCTGCACATAGATGACTCTGCTAGTGCTTGGCCACAAAGGAGTCAGTTAGCAGACCTTGTGGCCTTACCTGATTTGAATTGGCGGGGAAAATGTTTTTACTAGTGCTATGAATAGTTTAAACAAATGTAGAAATAAACCATTTCGGAGACAAAACAATAACAAGAATGATGAAAATAATAAAAGTAGAAAAAAAAATTAAAACTTAAAAATATATCGTGCACCAAAACAAATGTATATATAAAATATTTTTTTTTAGATAAATCATATATATATGGCTAACAACGCCGAAACCCTACCGAACCACATGCACCTAAACAACGCTGGAATCTTCCTACAACAAATAAAAGAACAATAAATCGTCACAAGAACCAAGGCCGGTTCGTTTCTAACGACGCTGAAATTTCTAACAACGCTGTAACTTCTAACAACGCCGAGATCCCTATAACGCTTAAGCAAAACTTTCTTCAAATGAAACAAGTTCTCAAAATATAGTCGAGCTGCATCGCCAGAAATATTCCAATAAGTGCAACAACAGACGCCCACGCCCTCAGCTCGGCCCTCGACTGCAGGAGGGCGTCTCCGTCGGTGTGCCTCAAAAATATTCACAATGTGTAAAATATATAAACAAGTAACTCACAGTGGGCATGCCGCGTACGTAAATGTCATGCCCGTCGGCATTGGGTTATACATATATACATACATACATATATGTACATATTTATACATACATATATTCATATATATATAGAGAGAGAGATAAGTAATATATATACATATATACAAATATAAACATACATATACACATACATATCTATAATATGTACATATTTATACATATATATACATGTAAATACATGACTACATATACATATGCATACATAAATTAATGTATAAATATATAATAAAATGTGTATCTATCAAAGATACCACTTGTTAGATTTACAAAATAATTTAAAATTCAAGAAAAAAATCCAATACCGTGTAAGGTAAATTAAGAATCTCAATTGTCAATAAATCCAACAAAATTTACTGCAAAGTAACCCATATGAAATACTATAAAAAATAAGGTGGTAACAATGGTATCTTAGGAGTAAATTTGCCATAAATGGAGTATTAATGTAAGCTCAAAACCCAAGCCTCATCATCAGTGCAAAAAGGAGGTCTGTCAAAACAGTACATTTAATCGACATAACATTGTATATAAACAAATCAAAATACAAGTTGACAATCTAAAAGTTTTACACCTGGACGGCTAACAATTGATCCTTCCCCAGGGGAGTAGTTGGTTAGGTAATCATTGTTAGTTAGTTAGTGTCATTCTCAACCAACCATCATATCGACGATAGACTCACCCACTGTGTGCAAGCACATGCGCGCACACACACACACAAGTGTATAGAGACAAAAATCACACACTTACATACATACATGTGTATGTATATATATATCACATGTATATATATATATTACATATGCATGTATGAATATATGTACACACGCACATACATGTGTATGCGTGTGCGTGCGTCCGTGCGTGTGTGTAAGCACACGCGCACACACACAGAAGTGTATAGAGACACAAAACACACAGATACTTACATACATGTGTATGTATATATATCACATGTATATATTGTTACACTAATCCTCTCATATCCTAAAATTTTCCTGTGATAATTTGTTATATAGGTTATAGTAACTATCTAGTAGTGCATCATAGAAATAATGGTTTAATTTCTGGAACGATGTTTTGTACTTTTAAAAGTGGTTTATGATTTATTTGCATCTGTTGAGTATTATCCGTATGATTCCATTAATTAATCTCTATAAAATGTTTTTCCTTATTTAATACAAATGTGAGGATCAAGAAGATGCTATTATTTAGTTGGGTTAAGATACAAAGTGAAATGTCGATTATTTAGGAAAAGTGTTGGAACGTTTTGTTGACAACGCTCTCTCGATGGTTAGGCCGGAAGGGTACGGAAGGGAAATGCTTGCTGCTGTATTTCATCTTTAATTTTAGAATAGAGTAATGGTTGTCATGGGTCTGGTTGCAGTTTAAGGTTTTCTCATGAGATGTAGAGTAAAGCAAATTAATGATAAGAAGTAAAAGTCATGGGAATTGTATAATATTTCTTTTGAAATGTGAGTGGAATCACAGCCATCGAGAGCACGTGCCCAGGTATGACATTTTTATATTTTGTTTATTTCACCCCATAGATATGTTTTACTAGTTGATACCCATTTGTATGTGAAGGATAAAGTGTTTTTCGTGTAATTAGAAATTATTTGAGATCTATTTCTTTACTTATTTTTTATAGAATATATTTTGATAAAAATTAAATGTAGATATTATTTTCCATTACCCTACCATTGAACAGACTAATCTCTTTAAGTCAAATAAACAACTGTCAGCTATCAGGAGATGTTAGCCAGAGGAGTGTGGTCTAACCTGTTATCTCTCTGTTAACAGAAACTATTATTTCAGAGTGAGTTCTGAGATAATGAGTCGATGGGCTGATTTGCATATCCTCCTTGAGGTCTAGGTGAAGATGGTAAGGAGGAAAGGTGTAACAATATATATATACATATGTACATGTATATGTATGTATATATTTACATATGTATATATACTTATATGTGTAACTATATATTTATATATGCAAACATGCATATATATTCATACACACACACACACACACATATATATATATATATATATATATATATATATGGATATATATTCATATATATATGTATATATATATATATATATATATATATATGTATGTATATATATATTTATATATATATATATATATATATATATATATATATATGTATATATATATATATATATATTATATATTATATATATGTATATATATACATATTATATATACATGTATATATATATATATATATATATATATATATATATATATATATATATATATCCCAATGCCGCCGGGGGAAATGGACAAAAAATGGGGAAAATGCTGTGCTTACTTTTTATGTTTTTCGTGAAATGTCTGCCGATAGATGACTCTGCTAGCACCTGATTTGGAATGGCAGGAAAAACGTATTTTTTACTAGTGCTATGAAAATCGATGGTGTTATTTTTATCATGAACATTATAATTTTTATAATGTTTTTTAACATTAGTAACAGCAAAATAAGATGGCGTAAAATATTTCGTAAATCAAAGAAACGGGTAAACGGGCGACACGGGCGGTACTCGTAGTCGGCTCATTGGTAATTTAGTGTTGCCATCTATGCATAAAAACAATCAAACAAGTACTCACAGTGGGCATAGCACGTACGTTCACGTCATATCCGGCACCAATGGGATATATATATACAAGTATACATACACACGCAGATCTATATGTAAATAAAAATATATATGTATATATATATATATGTACGTATATGTATATATATATGTAAGTATATGTATATATACATATATATATATATATATGTATATATACATATATATATATACTCACAAATATATTCATAAAAAGTATATATTCTCACACATATACTAAAACACTCACAGAGAAACACCAACAAACACAAACACACACATTTATATATATAAATATATATATATATATATATCCATATATATATATATATATATATATATATGTATATATATATACACATATGTATATATATATATATATATATATATATATATATATATAAATATATATATATATATATATATGGGCATATGTATATATATATGTATATATATATATATATATATATATACATATATATGTACATAATATATATCCATATACATATTGATAGATAGAAATACATATACATATATTTGTATATTTATATATATATATATATATATATTCATATATATGTGTGTGTGTGTGTGTGCGCAGGACTAGATCACTGCTGAGAAGGGATAAGGAACAGTTTATCAGTAATCTTGCAGAGGAGGTCGAAATCCATTTCTTAGTAAATGACCTTCGTCCAAGCCCTCCTCACACACGACGGCAGTCCGCTCAGCAAGTGGCCAGGTAATCTCAGATCCTGATGGGGTGCATGTGTGTTGGGCTGAGTATTTTGAGCAGTTGTATCAGGTTGATCCACCAACAGTTAACTTGGATGCTGGTAATGCTGAGACTCCTCTGCCAGACCCACCCATCAGCGAGGATCCACCCACCCTGACTGAAGTCAAGGGGGCGATCTCCAAGCTGAAGAGTAGTAAAGCAGCAGGTGTCTGTGGCATCCCAGCTGAATTGTTAAAGGTTGGTGGAGAACCTATGGCAAGGGGCTTGCATGCAGTCCTATCTGCCATCTGGCAGACCGGTACCATTCCCCCCGACCTGCTGAGGAGTGTGGTCATCCCTCTCTGCAAGGGGAAAGGGGATCGGTGGGACTGCAGCAATCTCCGAGGCATTACACTGCTCAGTGTACCAGGCAAGGTACTCGCCCAAATCTTACTGAGACGTATCAGAGACCACCTCCTGAGGCACCAAAGACCGGAGCAATCTGGGTTCACTCCTGGTAAGTCCACAATAGACCGCATCCTGGCGCTTCGAGTCATTGTAGAGCGCCGTCGTGAGTTCGGACGTGGGCTGCTCGCAGCCTACATCGACCTCAAGAAGGCGTTTGATACGGTGCATCGCGAATCACTCTGGGAGATCCTGAGACTGAGAGGAATTCCAACAAGGATTGTTGGGCTAATAGCAAACCTGTATACAGGCACTGAAAGTGCTGTAAAGTGTGGTGGGGGCCTGTCGAGCTTCTTTCCTGTTAGTTCAGGCGTGAGGCAAGGCTGTGTTCTTGCACCAACACTTTTCAACACTTGCATGGATTGGATACTGGGTAGAGCTACTGTCCAAAGTCACTGTGGAGCAA